GCGCGTTGCCATAGCGACGGAACGGAGATGCTGCGGGGGATCGGAGCTTGAAATTCGGAGTAGGAAGAGAAGAGTCCGTGGTGCGTGCTGGGCGGGGGTAGGCGTGCTGCTGATGATGACGTAATAGGGGAGGGTCGGTGGTCAGCTCGTATGCCCTAAAGCTCTTATACTCGATCGGACCGTAGGAACTGCCCCGGAGTCGTGTCGGGCCGTCGGAGGTCACTGCGATCGCTCGTCCGTCGCTGTGGGGTTTGGCGTACGCGCTCGATGCGCCGCCTGGCGTGTACTCTCCGGAGCTGGGTCCGGCGGCGGAGTAGTGGTTGTCGGAGTGGTTGTGCGCGTCTGTCGTTCCCAGTTTACGGCCGAAGATTTCTTCGATCTTCACAAACGGTCTGCTTCTACCGCTGCTGCCACCGCCGCCGCCGCTGCCGCCGCTGCTGCTTCTGCTGATGCTGTTGATGCTGCCAAACACTGGCACGTACTCGCCACGCACGTCTGCGCGTGCGCCCGCCGTCGTCTCGTCGTCGTCGTCGGCGGCAGCGGCGGCGGCGCCACCGTCGCTGAAGACTCCGAGTCCGCGCTTGCTGTATCCGCTGTCGATGAAAGCGTCGCTGTCGCCGAAGATTCGCACGTCGAAGTCGCTCAGTGCGCCGTCGTCGCCGAGCGTCCACAGCCCCGGGTTCACGACGGGCTTCGACGCTCGGCGACCGGAGGAGGACGACGGCCTGCCCGTAGCCTCGTTCTGGGAGAGCAGACCGAGCGAGCCGGCAAGGTCGAACATGTTGGAGTGACCGCTGTCCTTGTGGCCCCAGCCTATGACGCCGCGGTCGCTGCCGCGGCCGGAGCTGTGGTCATCCGTAGCAGAGTGACCAGTGACGCACAGAGCGGCGAGGATGAGTATGGCGAGTGAGTTCATTTTGGCTCCGTTGGGTGGCGTTGCCGTAGGTCGCGATCGGGTGGTAATGAGAGCGAAGACGATAAACTGAAGTGTACCGAAACGGGAAATAGTGCTATTCACAGACTACATATCCTATCTTGCATTGCGAAGTCTAGAATAATCATGAATATTGCATAAGCAGAATCTTTGCTCTCTAAAACAAGACAAACCGCTTGCAATACGAACTCCTAGGCCGAATATCGCTCAACCCCCGCACAATGCCAAAACGCCCTCGTACCACTCTCCTACCAATCCTACACGCTGCTAAGCGGAGTCGGAAAGTTTCGGTTTTATTCCTATAAATTTATATGGACTGCTTCGGTATCATAGTGATCATTCGGGGCATCGCCTATGCCTATCCATACTTTCCTAACACGTAATGCCCGTCATGATGGTAGCCGCTCATCAATTTTTACAACGCAGCTCAGTTACTCAGGTATACTAGCAATTGGCATATGAACATAAATTATCAGCGCTCCAAGTGGACGGAAACCGATAGCAAAATCTAACCGGTGTAGATTGGTGGCAGAAGTGATACGACGGCGTTTGGCAGTGAGAGGGGGGTTTAGAGCCGATATTCAGCCTAGCAGTACGTATGACAAGCGTTGGCCTGTGTAGAGAGCAAGGATTCTGCTAATCAATACCATGAAATTATCTAGACTCACAGCAAGCGAAATAATGTAGTCGTGAATAAGCACGTTTCCCGTTTTCCGTTGTAAACTCTAGTATTACCGCTCTTGTAATATGTATGTACATGAATATAAGTACAGTTACAGGCTACATGTGTGTCTGACATGATAAAAAGCATGAAGAATACAAAAACATCGAATATTTCCCCACACACACTGTTTACATATGCGTCGCTCAAATGGCGTGACGTCACGTCAGAATATATTGCAGTATTTCTAGGTGTTTATTACTAATAGGGGCCAGATTTGTAATTGAATACGTTATTGAATTATTTTCTATTAAAGAAAACGTTATAGAATTATGAAATTGCTTCAAATTGTCTTTCTAAGTGTGTGGTTTTTGGGCTTTTGCAGCATTCTGCATATCAGGCAATCCTGTTATACCAGGTTGTAATTGTAAGTCTGACTTCCTTCTTAATTTTTAAGTATTATTACGCTCTTCAAATAAGACCATTCTTCCCAATTAGTGAAATCAAACACCATTCAAGGGGAAGGATAACTCTTGACCCTTTGGACCCACCAGCTGGATCCGACCCTGCATAGGAATAAAGTAAATAAATTTCAACCACCTTATTCCAGTATTGTCGAACCTCTATGTTAAGGGTCATCAAAATCAACAGTCCAGAAATAGAATAAAAACGGTTCACATAATGCATTACAACGTTGCGAAGGCATATTACCATAAAAATGCCAGCCAAAAGTATATCTTGATAGGAATAGGATAGTACACATCAAAATATTATATACTTGTATTTATGTAAAAATACTCATGTAACATGTAATCTTTAAATACACTATTCCACACCCTATATCACCAGGTTATCGAACGTATGCAAAAGACTCGTAGTATCACGCGCCACACGTCAAGCGTATTTCACCTAATCGAATATATAGTGTCTATCAAAATTATCTGGGATCAAAGGATGAAGACAGCTTTATAATCGCCGACAAGAGAGCTAAATTTATCCAATAAGTGGCATAACATACAAAGCAAAGACCGCTCTTTAATTACACAGTTGCAATGTGCACATTTGATGTATAACATGTATATTCAAGAGTCAAAATCTCAAGTCACGAAATGTTACTCTATTGACTACATTGCAAGATAGAGCATAGGTCCATCATTCTGAGAACGTTAAAAGAACCGACAGAATTAAAGTCAAAGTAACTCAACTGCTGCCCCTATCGCAACATCTATCCTTAACACGGGAAATTGATCATAGTTTCTCACTGAACATCACAATAACACTGTAATACGACTCAATAGCGCCTTAGAACAACTATACTAAGTTCCCACCCAATATGCTCACCAAGAAACCAATGCTAATAGCAAAATAGTCAACTTCTGCAACCAGAAGCATTTTTGTATAATGAACCAGAGTTAGCCGCTAAAAATAAGGGGGGGTCCTATGCAACACAGTGGAACGTACTATCGAAACATAGGAAACGTGGCAACCGCCAGCGCCGAGCTAGCCGTAAGACGCAGAAGGCAACGCTGAAGGGCGGCCTGGAGTCCTGCCCCACAAAGAAGTTTGCAAATTTAATGGATCCAGTAGCCAATTTACCCACATTATTGAAAAGCCTTCCTAAAGATATCAATTTAGAACGATATCAAAGAGGGAAGTGGAAGCTACAGACTTGCCGGTAAAGTGCCATGTAAAACAATCGACCCGTGATACGTGGATAATAAGGAAGCAAGCCAAACCTTTTGACGCATTTATACAAAGACAACATGAAACATACAAATTAAAGTTTCTGGTGTTACAGATCAGAGTCACTACAAACTGACTGTCAAAAAACTCTGACATTGTGAAAATTTCATCATTAATTTCTTAAGAAGCATAAAACTGCCATTCCCTTAACCTGTCTATCATTAAGTAAAAAACTTGATTTACATAATTATATATGAAAATCATCCCAGTTACGTAATACACTGTACAGTCATCTAAATTCCACTGTATATTCAGATAGATTCATGCTGCACACAGACCACTACCGCATGCACACCGTGCGCACACACTCCCACATATAAATTCCTGTATTGTGCTAAGCACTAGGTAACGATAATCATTCGAAACTATAATATTAATATGTGTTGTAAAAATTAGCATTTACCATGAACGAGAGTTTAGTCCCCACACAAATCCTCAGTCTTGCGTGTTGAGCCACCTGAAAATTACGCAAAGAAAATTAGCAAGTTGAGCAACCCAATGGCATAAATTCAATATTTAGGCACTTTACTAGACTATAAACTACACACAGCCACTCACATGAAATTAACATGCACCCACCCACGCACGACACGCACGCACCACGGCACGCACCGCACACGCCGCACGCAACGCCGCAACGCTCGCACGCAACACACACGCCACATAAAAAGCAGTTATATAACATTAGAATATAATTGCCGACCCACACAGCACATCTCACATCTCACACACACACCACACCGAGTGCTGTACGTCACGTGGCACGTAATATCGACGCAGTCACGTGTCAGCCGAAAAAACCTCGTCTGCTACCGTTCACGTCTCGGCTTTACACATGTCACAGCTATGTGACACGCCCGCCTGATCATCGGAGGACGGCGGTCAGTGCTCTAAGAGATACACTTTATAACACCGTAACCTCGCGCGCGAGCAGCCGTCTTACAATACAGTGTCGGCGTGTGTGCAGGGTAATGGACGGCCCCTAGAATCAAATAAGTAGACTCTATATATTTCTATGGAACAGACACAGACATCGATATCGGTGCGACGACGACTCTGCCGCAATGACAGAAGTGCCGACGCGAAGAAAGATTACATGTGATATGATGTTGATGTGAGTGCGAGGGAAGCAGTGACAGATTGCAGAGATTATAGTGTGTGTATAATAGCGTTGCAGATATATATATATATGATACGGATACATAGATACATACAGATGTGGTGTCGTCATTACGGAACCAGATCTTGTGGATGGAAAAAGAACTAACACGCGAGATAAATAATAGAGAGCAGAGAGAGAGAGAGAGAGAGAGAGAGACAGAGACAGCGAAAAAAAGAGAGGCGGGATATATAGGAAGACAGAGACATAGGGAGACAGACAGAGACAGACAGACAGAGAAGAAAGAGAGAGAGAGAGAGAGAGAGAGCAAAGAGAGAGAGTTTTCT